AATAATATTGATACTGCCTCATGTGAGGCCGCCCGAGAAACAGGAGGCCAAGCGCTCGCTCTCTCTCTCTGTCTCTCTCTCTCTCTCTCTCGCTAATATTTTCTCATTTCTGTGTGCAGAATGCATTGTGGATCCTGGCTTGGTCAGGAAAAAGGCAATGTTACCTTGAACCCTGAACCCGAAGCCCTACATTCACAAAGCCCCAAAGCCCAACAGCCAAGGTTCCTCACCCAGGGGGTCACGGAGAGCAAGTTCTGCCAGATGGAGATGCGCTGGGCGATGCAATCGGACAAGAACATCGTCCTTGTGGCTGAAACAGCTGCTCGCTTGATCTGTAGTGTTTCGGGTTTTCTGTTTCAGAGCCATGTCTTGTGTTTTGCTAGGTGTTGGTGTGGTCTGATCTGGCACAGGGCCATGCAGAAATAAGAGAAGAAAGGGCGGATGACAGGAAGAAAGGAAGGTGGCGAGAGCCGCTCGCACCCGCACCTCGAAGTGGGCATGACCAAAGCGAGAGCGTCGTGCTAACCTAGCGAAGATAAGTCCCACCAAACCTCGCGTCAAAATATACTCCTGCCATCTACATTGAGGGGTATAAGAAGGGTGAGCCCAGGATCATCATCATCATCATCATCATCACCGTCACCGTCACCATCACCATCACCACCATCATAACCACCATCATCACCATCATCATCATCGTCATATCATCATCTTATCATCATCTCCGATCTTTATATTTCTCTGTTTCTCTCTCTCTATCTATCTGTCTGTCTGTCTGTCTATCTATCTATCTACCTATCTATCTATCTATCTATCTATATATATATATATACATATATAGATATATGTATATGCTATCCCTCTCTTTCGATCTCTCCCTCTCTCTCTCTCTCTCTCCCTTCTTCTTTGCCATGGACTCTTATGAGACTTCCATGCGCCGTCTGTTTATCAGGTTCCTTTCGGTCCTCGGACTGTGGCCCCTCAGTCATGCGTGGATGTACAGGCTGTATAGGGCATAATCATAATCATAATCCTTGTGTCGCAGTCCGTCTGTATTCTGTGGCCTGTCCGACGTAATGCGTTCTGTTCATGGTTCTGGGAGCTTTGAAGCCTGTGATGTAGACTTGGTTAGAGATTCGGTTGGATCTGTACCATTGTGATGCCTAAGCCCTGAGCCCTCAACCTCCAACCGTAAAACCGAGACGGAACCCTGAACTCGGGATCCTTCCCATCCACGATACGGTAAGACTGCTTGTAGATCCCCTCTTTCCACAAGCCGCTCTTCAGCTCCACATAGCTAAAGTGCACGTGAACTCCGCCGAATTGAGATCGAAGTCCACACACAAGGCCCGCGATTGAGCCACATACTTTTGCAGACAGGCCCCTTGTTCGGAAGGTTCCCTCGTGCTGTGGAACAGACGTAGGTGCGCTCTTATCCGGGTTATGTCAGAACCAGCTTCACGTAGAGACAAAGGCCTTCCAAGGCCTTGAGACTTGAAACTTCTTGCCTGCTCGTTGGGGGCAACCTTCCACAGGTACTGCACAGTAGGCACTTGGAAATCTGCACTCGCGAACGCACATACACGACTTGCTCCTTAACGAAAAAAGATTTAGGCTAGTGTTCCTTGGGTTTTAGGACGAGCGTCACGGCAAGCCCGTACTGGGCGAGCTGATCGAGCGATGCCCAGAGGACTTGAGGAATCTCTTTGAGGACCGAGGGCTCAGGCGGAGCCATAGAGACACAGGAGTCGCGTCGTGGAGGGGATTATCTTCTGCATCTTTGACAGCAATCGTTTCCTCGCTTTCAGGGCACCCTTTTGCCGATCCACGGTTTTTGATACTAGTTTGTAAGAAGATATAAAAGGATGGGGTGGCTAAGGCTGCTTTAGAGTGTTCCATGAGGTCCGACGCAAGGAATTGGAATCATTTCCAAGGTCTTCTGTATAAGACTTCAACTCCCACGTTGCGGCGATTTGCAAGAAGAAGTGCACTTAACCCTGGTGTGGCACAGGTTAGTTGTCAATTGCTGGCGCATTTAATTCAACTGTACCGGGTGATGTTTCACTCGGGATCCTGTAGTACGGGCAGGGTTCGAATGGAAATTCAACTACAATTAATCTTTCCAGAGTTTGAAGGCCACAAGTAAGGGCAGCGGCTGTCTTTGTTTGCTCCGTATTCGGGAGCTTTCAGAAATGGGCCGCACTGGTACATGTTAAACATGGGGTTCATCGTCCCGTCCCTCTTCAAAGTCGTAACATGCCCTTTGCAAAAACCAACACGGACCTGAATTGTTGGATGACTAGGTGATACTGTCGGGACTCTCTGAGTTACGTCTTCCGTAGCCTCCTCGGGTCCTGCGAAAGGAGCACGTGATCATCCCTTGGTACCGTGATCCTGATCTGCGATCTGTATGCGTGACGAAGATCCTGAAGAAATGTAACTCCGAAGAGCTTACTTGTAAGATTGGGAGACTTTGAGCCTTTCCGAGCAGCGCTATACCGAAATACACCAGGTTGCACATGGGGCTTCAGAGCGCTGCAGATCTTAAGTATGTCCTTGGTTTCGTGCACCGGTCCCGAGGTCCCGAATATCAGGGCCCATGCAGTTTCTTGGTATGTTGGCCCAAGATCCCCCAAAGTGAGCCAGGATCCTCGAATTGCATGCCGCTCAGCTCTCGTGCAGGGTATTTCCAGCCTCGTTCGGCCTGTGAGCTTTTGGGAATTCACCGCTTCCCATACATGCAGCTGGCGCGGGAACTCTTATCGTTTACTCGGCACAATTCCGATAGGAGATTGGCAAAGCAGTTCTCTAATTGCATCGCCTCCTGTGTCAGACGCAGTGGGCAGAGTAGGATGCCCAAGACGTTTTCGGTGACCAGATTTCTCCGTGACCCAAAGCCTGTAAGAGGCTTGCAAGAAGACCAACCTGCCATCTTATCTGGTAATACAGAAGCACTATCTTGGAAGTTTGGTTGTGACATGTTTGTCCTACCCTGTCCCAAGACAGCACAGAAGTGCACTCTAGACTCTAGATTCGAGATGGAGCAACCGAATAACTCAATCATTACGTGTGCCTTTTCCACTTCTGCCTTGATGTGAAAAGCGATCCCAACTCTGGATGTGGTCGGATAGCCGCTGTCGTTGGCCCTTTCTGATGAGACCCAGGCGTCTTCGAAGTGGATGCAGAGAAAGCCTCCATCAGTTCAAAGCTTCAGCGGCCGCTGATGTTCAGCAACAACGACGCTTCCAAGAACAGGTTAAGTAACGACTACTTCTGCGGGGCTCTCTGAAGGTTGGTCCCCGAGCTTCCGCATTTGTGGGCTCCTTTCTGGCTTGCTTAGGTATCTGTTCTAGAGGCCACCTCGTTGGGATCTACTTGTTCCTTGTCGACGTTTCTGTGGGGCTGTCTGTGGGTTGATGCCAAAAACGGCCTGTGCTGCACACCCGAATAGGAATGCCACCCTGTACTCGAGCCCAAGACAAGCCTCTCCAGAGTCGCTTACAATTCTCTTGCCTCAATAGTTTGCGACCGTTTTCGCGGAGTAAGTTCGTTCCCTGCCTCTGTGTTGCGACACATTCACGTTTGGTTGTTCAGTGGGAACTTTTTTGGGACCAGAGGTCATGTCGTTACTCAATGTGTTTTTCCATCGACGACGACGACTACTACTACTACTACTTCTACTTCCACTTTACTACTACGACTACTACTACTACTACTGCTCCTACTGCTACTGCTGCTACTGCTACTGCTACTGCTACTGCTACTGCTAGTGCTGCTGCTGCTGCTGCTACTGATTCTGCTGCTACTGCTGCTGCTGCTGCTAGTGCTACTGCTACGGCGACGACTACGACTCCGA